TATAACAGTTTGAGAGATATGGGTATTATCATTTTAGTCCGCAAAATGCACCACAATGCCCGCCAAGGTTCATAGTATAATGTTCATTTTCTGATGAATTAATGACATGCCTTTAAAGTGAAGATCTTTCAAATGCGGCACTATATATATAGCGAAAAATCCGAGAGGTCAAGTTTAAATGTTTTTTTATTATTATCGTTATAATTATTAGGCTTACGCTGTGTTGCACTACGGTATGTCAGCTTGGCAGCATGCCCTTTGGCGAGTTTTGGGCTTGTGCCAGTTGCATGTGCGCAAGGACTGCACGCACTTGGTTAAAACATAGCGCTAAAACTAAACCTCATAAAAAACGGAATTTCTAGACGACGTCTTTGATTGTTTATGCTAGATTGTTTAATATATCCACAAAACCTAAATGGTATAATATAGATAATTATTTCTGGTTTCATATTTGTCACACGGCTCTAATTACGTTCAACAGATGGTATGGTTTGTGTTTTGTGCTTTATCAAAGTCTAGCTAGGCTAAATTTCAGTGAGCAATATTAAAATTATTCAACATTCAAGTAAAACAAGTATATTGCATGGAAAGCTCATGGTGTAGGCATGCAGGTCCCAAATTTGCTGCCATAAGTGCCCCCGAAGAAAAAAGGAGAAGAAAGCCCGGTGTCCTAGCGGATAGTGTACCCCGCAGAAAGTGTCCCACCGGACACTATTCGCTAGCAGATTATGTCCCTCCGGACATTATCCGCTAGAAGATTATGTCCCTCCCGACACTATCCGCTAGCAGATTATGTCCCTCCGGACACTATCCGCGACGCGGATAATGCCCCTTTTGCGGATAGTGTCCCCCCCCTAAAAACAAATATAAAGAAGTTTTAGTTCTTTGGTCGATCACGATTACGTGATTGAAAAAGTTCTAAATTTGTATTTCGAATTTTAGTGACTAAAAATTTAAATTACTGGCATGTTATTATACAATATCATAACTTTAATATAGGACATAAACATGACTAATGACGTACAAGGCATTCCTCAAAAACAAAAGCGCTCATTAGCTGCACAATGGCTAGATTAATCAACATTACACAAAAGCATTTCACGAATGCATCGAATGCGATCTGATCAGATGGACGAAAATGAACAGTGGTTGTGCCCTGAATACACGCCTCCTGCATCCTGAACAATTTATATGCATGACGAACTTTCAAGTACTGTATCATAGTTAAATGTATAGATAAATTATTGCTATTCTTGTTCCTTTATGTAGTTAAGTATTTAGTTGTGTAGTTAAAATGTATTACGAAGCAAATTTTTTATATAAAATATATTTTCTAGCAAATATTAACTTTTGTTTTGGACTTGGGGGACACTAGCTATCCGCGGTAAAGTAATTAAAGGGGACACTATCCGCTAGCGGGGAGACACACTTCAGGGGGACACTATCCGCGGGGGGACACTATCCGCTGTAACACCGGCAACCAGCTATATAGGAGCTGTGAGATAAAGGCGTGATAAACTTTATCTTTTGCCGTACTGAATTGTTATTTCCATGCTATGGATATAGTATGGAAAGAATTATGCATGCATATTTCCATTTATAGTTTAGATTTTGAGAAAGATATACCGGAACTATATGTTGTGTCATAAAAGCGAATTTCACATTTTGGAAAGGAATCTTTTGCCTTTCTTTAGACGTGAATTTAAAAGAAAATCTTTCATTTTATTTCCTCGAATATGACCGGTCAAGTATTACAACAGGAACAATTCCTTGGGAATGAATGCATGGTATTTAAATTTGCAAAGCTCATCTTTCACGTCAAATGCATTTTTTAACTTTCGATTTTGTTTTCGTGGAATCCCTCAACGGTTATGTGTTATTTAGGTAGTTTTTGAAAAAGCAATTGCATTATATAAAATGTCCATGCAAACGCATTTGTCGACTGCAGACTGTTAGGTAAACCAATTTTGTTTTCACGTATTTCCCTGGAACTATACGCAAATTCATCGCATCATAACCATAAGCTTAAAAAAACACTATCGCTGAAACTAAGCACACTCTATTAAAACTAATGGCATTGTTTAAACGTATAACAACAGTTAGTTTGATAATTACATCGCTGCCAAAAATTTCAACGTCATTCGGTTAAATTCGGGCTGGCATGATGAATTTCAAATACAAAATAGCGGGACGACAAACTGTGTGTTAATATGTAGGCTATCGCGTACCTGAAGCAGTGGAAGCCACTAGAGCAAATTGACGGAACAAAAAATGAATACACAGAAACCTCAGCCATCTAAACTCCATTTCGTCAATAGTCTTATTACTGCGTGTGCTACGAATTCACGTGGTATGTCTCATAATGTCTGGAGAACGTTACAACAGTTTTACAAGTTACAACATGTTTGGTATATGCATGTCATTTGATGCTTTTTTGTTATTTGATATGACGGCAGGTGATGCCTTCTTTGTAAACCCCTTCCAAAAGTTTGCTTGTTTAATTTAGTCACGATCGAATAAATCTTCTTGAGAATATGCAATATATATAATTCGTAGAAGACCAGTGGCGTAGCCAGTCTGATGATTTTATGTTATTATCATTATTCATTTCTTTCCTTAGAAATTCATTGTTTTCACAGAATCACAGTCAACACCAAAATATAAGCATAGCATGACTAAATTTCGGGCTGGCTACGCCACTGTAAAGAAGACACGATTGAAACTGTAAAATTTCAAAACTTTATTTCAAATCTTTAGACAACACTCCACAACACACATTCTTATATATCTATTTAACATGCGCATGATGAGTTATATAATAAGGGCCACACAGACTGCATATGCATGATTTGTAACGCAACGCTAATTTTTAGAAGCAAGTAAATTTAATTTTGATATAACAGTTTGAGAGATATGGGTACCAGACCAGTCAAAATGTACTATCATTGATTCAGTAATTACCAAGAATATCATAACATTGTCAAAGTTAATAGAATTTGAAAATTGAAAAACATCGCGTCGGTGCATGTGTGTCGGACTTTAGAGAGAGAGCGTCAATCTATCATTCAGGTAGTACATGCAAGGTCTCTGTCTAGCCTTATGTAAATTATTGACTCTGACCACATAATCTCTTGAATTTGCTTGCCTTATTTAGTTTTCCTTCCATGAGAATGGCGTCAGGATGTCGCCGAGACGTTGGACCTTTCTATCGCTAGTTTTTTCTTTTATATATATGTATTGTGCAGTAATATTTGATAAAATGTAAGCTCGGATATTCGAGGGGATATTCACCTATTGCATTATGTTCGGATACAGCAATACCTGTAGCCTCTTAACTACGAAATTCCGGCAAACGTTTCAATGAACGGTAAATCAAACGGATGACCGCTTTTGGAACAATTTTCAAACGTTTTCGGCTAAGCGTTCGAATGGGCCGTGTCGAACGATGGACGATCTCGAAAATCGTTTCAACGGACGCTTCAAGCGTTTAAACGGCAAACGAACGAATAACAAACGATATTTTTCAACGAACGAAATAGCATTAACGTATGTTTTCCTGTGGAAGTTCACATATAATGAAAGAAATTTGCATGTTAGCTGTCATTAGACATTATTTAATTATTTACTCTGGACACGGACACATAAATTTTTGAACTCGCATGCTTCATTTAGTTTCCTTAATAATGGCGTCAGGATGTCGTCGAGACGTTGGACTTTTCTATCACTCGTTTTGTCTTGTATATGCATGCTTATCCAAATCATTGTTAAGTACACTTGCATAGCTATATATATATAAAAATTCCCTCTCTTTAACCCGTATTACTTCAATTTAAGACTACAAAAGCTATGCTATTCAAATGAAGTATATTAAACACAGTAATGTTTAACTTATTCGAATACTTTTATAATCTATACCAGTAGCGTAGCCAGCCTGTCGATTTGTCCCGCTATGCGATTTGTCCTGCTGACCATGCCATTAACAAGGACCTAATATTTTAAAATTTAGATCCTGAAATTAAATACCTGTTCCCTATCTGGGACGCCGTTGTGGTTTCCTTTCAAGTTTATATTAGCTGAATTATATAGCTTTTATAACTATTTTGAAGCTCGAGTTACCAATTTTACTTATTTGTTTCCAATAGACCTTTTCAGTAATTACATCACACCATTTTAACATAACAACGTACGTTTTAAATTTAGAACCACCTTAAATGAAATAGATTTCCAGTTTTACTCTCACGAGCCACGTGCGAAGATGCAAAACATCATTCTTCAACACATGTATGAAAAAGATTTTTATTATTTTGACCAATAAATGTGGAAATAAGCCATAACACGAGAACGAGGCTGATGAGCCAACACCGCGAGCCTCATTCCCGCGTTATGGCTTACTTCCATACTTATTAGTCAAAATGGAAACTTCTTTTTCATGCACGGGTTATAGAAGGATGTTTTGTATCTTTGCTGACTTTGCACGTGGCTCGTGAGAGTAAAACTTGAAATCCATCTCATTTAAGGTATTTGTTGTGACGTAATTACCAAAAAGGTCTATTTTAATCTTATATTCTTGCTCTGCCTGACGATATTCTCAGTCCACCCATGCATGTTTGAGACGATCTGCTACGGATGAAGCCCTAGTGTGTCCTACATTTGTTCAAAAATCCCCTCCTTCGAATCTTCTCGTAAGATAAAGAGAAGAAATGGAATTTCAAGTGTGGCAATATGCCAGCATTATTGCGGACAACGAAATTAAAAGAACCATGCTTGAGATCATGCAACTTGATGTTTCACTATTGAATTGATTACCGTCAATTTTAGCTCACTTTTCCGCACCGAGTTGCGAAGTACGTTAGGAAATTGGAAACTACGTCTCGAATTACGGAAGTACGTTGCCAACTTCCGTATCTATTTCCAAATTCCAATTGTAAATTTTAATTGTTCATAGGCATAGCAATTAGGTGAAGAGCGTAAAGTATTCAGGATTTGAGTCAATTTGAATTAAAAATATGGAACGTAATCACTTCGTAACACAAGGAAAAGCCGTAAGTAACAAGTAATTGCTAAGAGAAACGTACTTCGTTGCGATGTAAATTCAAATTCACAATTGGAAGTAGATACGGAAGTTGGCAACGCACTTCCGTAATTCGAAATGTGGTTTTCAATTTCCTAACGTATTTCGCAACTCGGTGCGGAAAAGTAATCTGAAATTGACGGTAAAACATGGCTTCATCTTTAAGGAAAGAGCGTAATTACGAATACATGGCGATAAAATATTCGCAACTCAACCAGCAGCAATTCGCTATAGGGAAGCAGTTGATCCTTGTGCTGGGTGTGAAGAATGGGGACAAGGTTGTCGATATTGGATGTGGAACAGGTGAAATAACAGCATATATTGCAAGCATCGTGGGCAAAGACGGTCTGGTTGTTGGCGTTGATCCCGACGGATGTCGAATCGATGTTGCACGGCAGAAACACAGTCCTGATTATAAGAACATTACCTTTGTACATGGCGATAGCTCGTGTGATTTTCCTCATCGCAACGAGCCATTTTATGATGTCTCTTATTGCAGCTCGGTCTTTCATTGGTTGGACGAACAGGAGAAGATCATATTCCTGCAGACTGCGTTCAACTGTCTCAAGCCTGGAGGTAGAATAGCCATTAGTAGCTTAGAGGAAATTCCCGAGCTTTTCCTGCGTGTGCCAGAGTTGCTGCCCGACGTTGAAGTTGAGAGCAATCGTCCACCGTTTAAAATTGTGAAGAAGAACGAAACAGAGGCGATAGTACAACAAGCAGGCTTTGAGGTACAACACAGCGATTATGCACAATGCGAGCACACATTTCCAAGTGTGGAATATTATTTAACTTGGTTTGGTGCGTCTGGGTACGTGGACGAAAAGAAATTTCTACCACACAAGAAGCAGGAATTTTCTCAGAAGTTTGCAAATGATGACGGGAAAGTTCATTTGAAACTAAAAATGTTTCAAATCATTGCAAAAAAACTAGAAACAATTTAATAACACTTAATAGTATACCAATATTGGGAAGAATGTATGTTAGATCTGTACAGTAAGTAAAATAGTTGTTATTGCCAACACTATATTGGAACTGATACGATAGACCTAACAAGATAATAGTGAAATGCTCCCTTGTTAGCGAGGTATATCGTGAATCGAATTGAATTGAATTGAATGTAAACGGATAGATTGGATTGAAGGTGAAATAAACGAAAATACGAAAGATAAAGTCCCAACCTCGTACCCAGGGTCTTTCCTCCTTGAGTTAGGGCCAGTTTATAAGGCTGCTTTCCACTGTCGCGTTTTTCATACGACACGTAGCTAGTTGGGGGGTGTATTTCATATATTTTAATTGGGGGTGTATATTCATTTTTATATACCGTATGAACAATAGCGTACAAAAGAAATCAGTCGGGCATAGGACGAATATATGAATATACATCCCCCCCTCCCCCAATTAAGCTTCTAGATGTAGATACGACCCTGCGTATATCATTCTTTTTTAGGCACTCAGAAAGAGCAAATGACTTTTAAACAAAGGAATAAGTTACGGTTCGTTACAATTCGGTTGAAGTGGAAAACAGGCCTTATTCAACACATTCTGCCCACAGACATCGCTGGGCGTCATTTCAAGGTTGATTTGCATTCGCGTTGTTTATAATATTAAGCAGCCTGTGTGCAGGCTACATTCTAATATAAATAATATAATATTGTAATTTGTGACATAAAATTGTACGACAGATAATTCGGTTAATATGGTTAGATGGATTCTTGGGTTGCGCGTTCTGCTGTGTTTCAGTTCGACCAATTTAATCAGTAATGTTGATACAAGCGTGGTAGACGAGGAATGTCCCACAATGGCTGCGGCGTGTGTGGGAAATTACTATACCGAACTGCCGCTTGCTAGACGATATCCAGTCGAGGTGCTTCCTTATTTGTGTTAAATATATACTGTCATTAATTTGCTTAGAAAAATTCCACTCGTTTGAAAGATCGATTAAATCATTTAAATGTAAACACGCAACAAATTATTTGTTTAGGGCTTCCGTGCATTTACTGACTTCCTCCAATTCATATTTGGGAAACATCTGTTTAATTTTAAAAAGCCTGTATATATTAGTCCCAATAAAATGCTATGACAACTCATCGCAAAGAATTTAGACAGGAAGTGTTAAATTTTATACTTCAAATTTTATAGGGTCAGCAGTCTGTTTGTTCCACAGAAAAATAGTGTCTAAAAGCAAAATTTAGATGAAGGAAATTAATTATTGTACAATGTCTTGGGTTTCACAATTGTAAACCATCCATATTTATAATATATATCAGTATTATATGGATGAAGAATATAACCTTTAACCATGGCAAGCAACAGCCAGCCTCGAATTTTTTTAAAGAAAGCTAGCTTGCTGCCAAAACAACCCTAATTGTTATCTTGCACCTTCTTGCCCAAACTAATTATGCCCATACAGTCATACCAACCAGTACTTTACCTTGTTTATATCAGCAAAATACAACCAAGCATCTCACAAATAGGCAATAAATCAATATAGTGATTACTTAACTTCAGGTTATATATGTTGAGCCTTTTTTGACTAAAAGTGCTTAACCCAGATATTTCCACCTTGCCTAGAATTTTTTTAATTTCTGGCTCAGGAGCCTTATATCCCTTCAATGTGCTTTAAACATGTTCAGTATGGATGCCCCTTAATATAATTCCACAATATTCATATTAGGTTGGACACATCACTAAGTTGTCACTGGAAAATGAACAAATTAGAGAGATGAAGACTCTAAGCATAAAACCACCAATATTTGGTAATACATTTAATTAAATTGATCATTATTATCAGCTCATAGATCATGGCAAACAAGAATGAACATAGAATTTCAATAATAATTGAAAACCATGTGTAAAATTGGTTTTAAAGACAATTATGGGCCCACAGTAATTGCTACTTAATATCATCTTGGCTTAATTTGTTGTAATAATATTCTTGTATGTTTGCATGCTGACATCAATAAGTAAATTAGCTTGTAGGTAACACCACATAAGTATTTAATACTGCAAAGCTTTAGTTTGTTAACCCGGGCCTTTATATATTGCACTATTCTATTGCACTGATGAAGGCCCGGGTTAACAGACTGAAAGCTTTGCAGTATTAAACTACTTATGTGGTACGTGTACCTACCAGCTAATTTACTTAAATTGTTGTGTTACTGATAAATGCATGCAGATGTCATGTTGTAGAGTAATGGCAAAGTTAATAAATAAATTAAATTATTTGGTGTGTAAATTTTCCAAGGTGTTCAAACTTCAACTTGAAAAACTCTGATTGCTAAATCTGGTGTGACATCAGAGCTACTCAAGATCGTTCAGGCAAACAAAGTAAACATCTATGACAAATAATTTGTTTTGACTATTTAGAAATTCGCAATTATATGAGTCCGGAAGAATGTGATGATATTATAAGGCTGGCAAAAGAACAAGGTCTACAAACATCTGAGACAATGGATGAGGATATGTTTGAAGATGAGCAGAATTTTCAAGAAGCTGATGGTGACGTTTTTGAATATTATGATTACAACAAAGATAACTTCTTGGATGTTGATGAGGTATTATTTTTCATGATTAGGAATTCAAATTGTAAAATTGTTGCGGCAGCGTTTCCATCCGCGCAAGCCAGGCTATTCTACCTACCAGGGCGCTTATATATATTGTTTATACATACATTATCGACGGATAAACAAGACCTGTTAAAATGTCAAATTTTGGCATTTTTCATCAAAAACACGCTCGCCTCAGGCTACTTCCGCATCTCACGTCGATCAGCGCGCGGTCTTTTGTTGCACCGCCCCTATATATAAGCGCCCTGCTACCTACGGCCCACGCTTGGGCAAAAACGTGTGCTGTGGAGCGTGTGTAGAAAAGTCTGGCTTGAGAAGTTTCAGCGTCTCCTGCTCCAAATGCTCATTCAGATATGTGAATATCACGACAGTTTGTTAAATTATTAAAGTATTTTCTTTTTACACCAGATATTTTTTGCCCTAGTTTGTGTAACAAAAAAATTGTTAAAAATTTTCACCCCCAAGCCAAGGCCAAGGACTACACACGAGAACATGGAACTGGAATGAAAGCACTTTCCTTCGTACATAAAATCATTTGCGTTTTTTTAGGTTACGAACCTTTTAGATACAGAATTGGATTTTTCTCCAGACATGGAAGACGTCGTTGACATGTAAGCAAATCATCTTATAAAATAACATGTATATAACGCGTGTTCTGATTAGTCGAAGCCCGTGTTTGGATCAGGTCATCCAAACACGAAAATTCGTCGTTTTAAAGAGTTTCAATAAAGAGTTTTAAAAATTCAGGCCTGGTCGACTGGTCGTTGTTATTTATAAAACAATTACTTTATGGTTTCCGTGTTTGTATTGCCTGATCCAAACACACGGGAATGTTGCGAGAGTTAAGAAAAGCGCGCGAAATGTTTTGCGAGGTTTTCTTAACATCTATACTACTTCACTACCGGTAACAGGGACTGATTTTTTGACCATAGTTATTAGCCAATGAAAATCGTTAACTACGATATTTAACTACCCGAAATGTAACTATGGGCTTTTCACAACCAGTCCCAGGTATAAAAACCGCTGAACTAGTAGGAGGTGAAGCTGTCGTTAGCAAATCGTTAGCTACGAAGCTTAGCTGTAAGGAAGTGGTGGGCTGAATTGTAACGGGGGCATCGATAAGTTACAACCTTTGGTTGGAATAAAATGCATCGATCCACCCTCAATCCACCATTACCAATTTAAAAATGATACTGAATATCGTTTACGTATATGGCTACGAAGCCCGAAAGGTGATTATTTAAAGTTCTGTAATTTGTAAAGTAATTTGTCGAACGACCTCAGATTATAACGCGATGATCATTTTTTTCCAAAAATTTTAAAATGGTGGCGTGTTGTGTTTTTTGTCAAAGTGAGAGTTAACTGTCGAGATATTTAATTAATTTAATTAATACTATATCGACAGTTTTACGGCGAACGCGTTTGTAAAAATTGCATTTTCGACAACACATTGTTTTTTTTTTCAAAAATCAGCTTTGTAGTTAATTAAACTAAAATAATTATTCCCCTTATGCAGGCTTGGTGATTATCTTTGAATAAAAAACCTCGACTTTGACTAAATAATATATTTGACAATTTATTTAAAATAAGTTCAACGCGCTTTAGCGAGAATTGCCTTTTTAAATCCGTTCACATTTTTATCTGCAGGCTTGAGAGACTCGATTTGGACAAAAATGGTGATTGTAAGTATTGAGACGATATATCCCAATTGACGGGTACGCGGGTATGCCTTTCACCTACTAGTATCGCTTTTACCTAAACATGGTCATCAACCTCGTTTCTATAGAGTATTTACCTTTTTACGCCATGTTTTAGTCTGCATTTTTTCCTTGCTATAAGCGAAATTCTGTGATCTGTCTCAATAGAATTAGTTCAAGTACCATAACTTAATATAACATTTGTGTATACGCTTTGCTCTCGACAGTGAAGCTTAGTGAGGACGAATTCGAGAAGAAAGATGTTGGACGAATCATTAGGTTTGTTTCCCTTACAAAGCGAAAGAAGCCTTACACAAAGAGCAGACACAGTGAACAAACCTGGTTGGACACAGACAGGAACAGCGAGAAAACGTTGCAGTCATTACGTAAGAGGTGCAAGAACATTTATATTCATGCAGTCCAAAGTATAACCATATATATAGGGGCCTTGGTTTTACAAAATTTATAATTGAAACGGTTGGTAAGTCAAAATTGAGGAACTACTGGAACACTAAAATATTATGCACTTTAGTTTCGACTGTACTAAACTTACTTTCTCTTCGCTGTTTATGACATCGACTATAGTCTTGCATAAACCATAATTCCGTTCATGTTACGGTTTACAGACTTTGGAAACTGACTAAACTTCCCTTGATGCTCCTAAACGCCAGTGAAAGCCTTCAGGTATATATGCAGGAAATATGTTCAATTAATTGTAACGCATGTATTATCTACGTTTTTATATAACATAGTTTGATGTTAGCTTAATATCTAACCCGCCTGGATTTTATAGAGGGATGAAAAAGGGCGCAAAGGTGGTTACAGCTAGTGCATGGGGTTCTCAATATATGTCTGTCAGTCCATACATGATCAGAATATCTGTTTTATTATTTAGACTATATCATTTAGAAAATCGAACGTTTTCTGTAAAGTTTTAAACGGGTTTCTATATTATTAGCGTTTTCTGTTCTGTTTGAAATACACAGGTCAAATACACAAATGCGACTAATACACATGCGAGGTCTTATAGGACAAATGCAAGTAATGCAATATGCATGTAGAACTACCGTTAAATGGAACGGCTATGAATGAACTGAAAGTGGTAAACTATTTCGTATATCATTCGAACACGACTGTATACTGATATATCCTCAACCGCATGATATAACCAGGCAAAGCTTTTGATTGTAGATGAAGTGTCTTAAAATTTACTCGCATTTAAGGTGGTAAGTTATGGTCCAAGAGGACACTATAATTGCCACGTGGACAGCGATGACATTGACCCCAAAACGCGATGTTGTCATTTGGATGACTACGGTTCGCCTGATTGCCGTATTTGTAGGTATGATATCGTTTGTTCACGTGATAGAAATTTTTGAAGTAAATCAAAGCTATTTTAAGGCTACCTTCACATTGGACCAGACGATTTTCGAACCGTTCTCAAATTCGTCTGGTTCAGATGTTCACACAGAAAAAAGGAATGAAAATGTGACTTGTTCTACGTGTTTACACATGCAAGGAAACTGACTAATCCGAGCACGGTTTCAAATCCGTCCGAGTCCGTGTCAACGTAGCCTTAACCCGTTGCAGATTTCTTACACACTATTATGGGACTAAATCGTTGGGCTGACTGCGCGACTGACAACACCTATAATAGGAGATGTTCGCTTCCTTCCATCAAGTTGCTTGAAGTCCAATGAGAAAGTATTCGCGTTCTCTAGATATCTTACAGTTCTGTACTTCTTGAATGACGTCGAAGAAGGAGGCGAAACTGCGTTTCCAATCGCCGACAATGAAACGTACGATGAAGATGTAAGTCTTGTATGTGATGGATTAGAGTCAATCGGTTAATTGCTTTTTCACTTGTCAGTTCTATCGTAAGAGAAAAGTCTGTTTTCCACTTAAACCATATACGAAACGTGACTGGTATACATATATATATATAAATATTTCCTAGACATTTCACCACGATACGTTTAAAGTGGAAAACAGGCCTAAAATCCTCATGAATATCCTTTCATGCAACCCCCCATTATTGTTGCATATTTTTCCTGAGGAGGATGTTACCACCTTGAGGGTATTGACCATTCACAGGTGTGGCAAAAAGACGTGAAGAGAATGTGCAATGTTGGTCGTAATTGTCACAAGTCGAATCTTCGAGTTAAGCCCGAGAAAGGTAAAGCAATCCTGTGGTACAGTCATGGGATCGATGACGCCACAGGGTGGTTGGGTGACTCTGATCCTTACAGCGTCCATGGTGGCTGTGATGTGAAGAAAGGTAGAAAGTGGATTGCAAACAATTGGATATCTGTCAGCGAAAGCCGCATCGACGACGTCCAATTTTGGCTTCGAAAGATGCAAAACGCAGGTTTGAAACTATGTGTCGAAACTTCGACCTAATTTTGACTGAAGCCGGCTTTCCACTTGGCGGAATTTCTCGATCGAACGAAATTTTTCGCTCGATTCTCTTTTCAATTGTCAGAATTCGACCGTAGCGGATTACCTTCACCGGTCACAATTGAAAGGAAAATCGAGCGAAAATTTTCGTTCGATCGAAAAATTCCGCCTAGTGGAAAACCCGTTTTCCTACTGATTATTTCTCGTTCTCCCAAACTCCCACGTGTGTTTCTATAACTGTATAGAAACGCGGAAAATGTTTTCTGTTTCTTAAATGGGCAGCAATATTTTTTTTAACAATTTATATATCTATTGAATAGAAAATGCAGAAACAAAATCGAATGATGGTAAAAACAGTGTGTTTGATGAAGTTTTCCAGGACGTTGAATCAGTTAATACAAAAAAAGAAGAAGAAATAAATGGAATTTTCGACAGTTTAGAACATTCAGATGTGGAAAGTACAATCGAGACACCCAGACAGGAACTATAAATTTGTTTTGGAGTTGAATAATTCGCTATTTAGGTTGATTTAGTAGAATGGACCGAGTTTGGGAGTATTTTCACAAAGACTCGCTTTAGGCCTACGCGCTAGTAAATAATTATTGTGATGCGTAATTCATGTACAGCCAATAGCATTTTGAAAACCTTTTCCATTTTGAAAACGCCAAAGCTCGATCCCGTTTGTCACAATTTAGTCAAAACGCAAATCCATGGTGTACTAAGGGTGCATTTCCACTTGCAGAGAAATAGTTTCCTAGCGAAATATTTGCATACTTTCTTTTGAATTTTAACGAAGAGATAAAAATCAGTTCAGCTTGACTGTTCTCAGTGAAAGAAGTTATTCAAATATTTCGCTAACGAATTATTTCTCTGCGAGTGGAAATCCAGCCTAAATATCAGGAAAATTGGCACATGTAGATATAATTTATTTTCTTTATATTTTATAATTTATATAATTATACAATAAGTTTAATATTACCTAAAATATAATTTAAGAAATGATGCCTGAACGCTATTTAAACTTCAAGGTTCATAGATATCAGCTTTTTGAATTTAATCCTGGTCAAACTGACAAAGAATGCAAGAGTATTTGTTATAACTCAAATTACGGGCGTTTAATAAACTTAGCACTACAGGGTGAGTCGAAAAAACTGATGCCTTTCACCCGTTCCCCATTTTCTAAATCACATATAGGAACCTCACATATATGAGTCGGATGATCATCATATTCAAGCTGGGCACGAACTTTAAAATGGCGTAATTCTCTTGTGTCCAACAGAACGTAGTTAATTATGCGAAAGCGTTTAAAGAAATTTACTAATTCAACGTGACGCTGTGCTATAAATTGTTTATATTTATTTACAGAGAGTGCAATCAAACAATGTTCACAATTCATAGCGCTATGTCGTTCAATATGACTGCCGTTTCTTTCGATGATATTCTGCCGCGGCTCCTGGATATTCTGCATGGGTGTCTGGAGAAAATTTTATCCTTGAGGTAGCCCCACATAGAAAAGAATCACAGGGCGTACGGTCTGGCGAGTGAGGTGCATGGCCACCCAACATTATGGTCTAAAAGCACCCATAACAATGTATAATTGCATGTTAGAGTTTGAATGCCTAAGCACTCTGTTGGGATGCATATCACAATAAACGCTCGTTCCGCAGTCAGCTGTACCAACATCTTTCGAAGCAATAGCAAGGCTAAGGCCTAGTTATTATTATAGTATTTTGGTCGCGTCGAATGCAATTCAAACAATAGATAATGAGATAATAATGAGGCTGAAAGAGGTTTACCATCTCATTACCCTTTCATTACCCTCTCATTACTCTTCACCCGTGCATGCGAAGCGGCTTTTGAAAGTCTGCCCATGCGACCGTTACCGGCCTGAAAAACAAAGGGCGCTTCGCCCAAAACGAAGGAAAATTGCCTTTAGCAAACGACACGATTCTCTATGGGTGGCCCGATTTATACTAATGATAATGAGGTTTATCATCTCATTGTCTATTGTTTGAATTGCATTCGATGCGACGTGTAACCTTTAAGGCATTCAATTTAAAACTACAAGGTGAATTTCCAAACCGCTCATGTTTGTACAGACCATTGCAAGTTCGAACTTCGAAGTAGAAGAGCCGATGTTGATGAATAGCCAGTAAATGTGTCTTTGACGTTTGTTAATTGATAAAGGTCGTTTATATTAATGGTAAAAATCGTCGCCACCAATTAAACAACATCCTACGTACGTATATGGCTAGAAGGTTAACAGCCTATGCACATATTTAGTAAGTTGATTGTCGAAATTGGGATAAAATGCTGAAAATAAGAGACGAAGTAATAGTTTCGAAGATATCCTTGTTGCCGTGATGCATGTTGGCCAAAGTGGAGGAAGAAAGGTTGTTACTCTGTTGTGCACAGATTTGTTCAAAATCATCTTGAGAATTTCAGTAATTTATACGTGTGTCAAAATTTTGGTCATGCATATTCAGATATGCGATGTGTATCACAACCTTAACATACAAGGTTCAAATAGCTTGTGGAAAGCCATCTACATGCAGCGTTAGTGTATACTAATTAGTCTGAAACTTAGGTGTAGGTTATCCTATATCTATATAAATGGTTTATCTATAGTATTTATATAGCCTTTTCACTGTGGAGAAAAATTTATAGTGAGTGTTATATATTATTATAATTGCTCTAGAATTTCATGACTTCAATTCTTGGTAGATATTTCATCATGACAACATCGTGCATATGCATATGAACAGTGTTCATATGCAAATACAATAGAAAATTGTCATGGCCGTACAGTAGTGAGTGGGGAGGGGTTAGTACAAAATAGGCAGTTAAAAGCTAAATATATGGCAGTATTCGGAAAACTAAACTTGTAGCATGGGGAATTTGCGAAATTTTTTAATATCAATGAAACGCTTCGCCAAAGAAAATTAGCATTCTTTTCCTCTAAGTTCAGTAACCAAGGCGACTATTATTGCCATTATAATGCCACTGTAATTAAAGAAGCCAGATTGATATAGAAATATTGCTACCTTAACTCAAGCATTTCAAAGCTATACGAGATGTCCAAAATATTATATTATGTGTAGAGCTTAATACTATAAATGTGTCAGCTTTTTCTCTGTTTTTTCTTCTGTTCGTTGAGAGGTTCTTTTGTAAATTTAAACATTCTCAAAGAGTTATTGAAACGGAACAAGATGGAAGGAAATACTTTACTATTATTAAGAAGTTAAAACTTTATTGTCATTGATTCAATTCAATATAGAAATGGAATTGAATAGCTAGCTATTCTTGCACTAAACTCTTTTATCTTTACTGTATTTTATTGTATTCGATAGTAATAATTCTTACTTCTCGCCCGATTATAATTATCAATAATTTAGTAAAATTATTTTATTTGAAGATACGTTCCAATATAAGGGAGCAGCGTCGATAAACTAACTCTCTGACGAAAGCCCTCGGGTGGAAACGTCGAGACGTGTTTTTGTCTATTTTAGGCAGTTGTTATACCACATTTGATGCCAAGTTATTTTCTTTGAAACATGTCTACGCAATGAAAAATATATTATCTCAATCAGTCTTTTCTTTGCGGTGCTACAAATTCAGTGAATTACCTCCAGAACCTAGATATTAGCTAGCCAATAATTTGGGTATATAATTCATTATATTACGCATCATTCTATATGATCGTTATAATTATTTCCACCACCATTTTTTTCGCACGATTATAATTATGATTCTTATACATGCATGGTTAAATGTAACTATATATATAATACGTTTTCAATTTACGTGAGTCAAACATTGCAATCATAATGCATTTTTTAATCAAGCACTACAGATTTGCAGATGCATTTATAACATGCTGCATGTATATTCATACACTGCTTTGCATGTATTATTTTTGACGCCGGATAAAGAGCGCCTTTATTTAAATTATCCTGTGCAATATCGGTGAAAAAAGATCGAAACACTCATTATCAGGAACGGCTCAGCAAGGTATAATAGCTTCACAATGTGCGTGTCTTCTAATGGTTCTAAATGGCAAGTTTTCTATGTATTTCCTGGCATTGTATGCCTTTTTATTTTTTTGAACCGAAACGCGAATGGCTGTACACAATATTCGGATGGTAGTGATGGGAGTGAAAGCCAATCGTGCCAACGCGATGTCGACACACGGTTTAATAGAAATTTGAACTTGCAAAGACAAACGAGAGATGTTGTCATGATGAAATATCTACCAAGAATAGACCCCGTAAAGGTTAGATTGGTGGTTCCTTTGAAAAATCTAATTTCCTTGTTTCTATAACATTATTATGCATGGGTATGGTCTATCATCAACGAATGTCATGTACTTTCGCAATATATCTTGTGTACTTACTCCTTGTGTATATATAGCTATTTTAGTAGGAAGATCAGTTTTAACCTCGAACCGTTTAATAGGTGTTTTCAGGCGCCATGTAGAAGCAATCGAGAAGCAGGGCTTGCTTTGCCAACACCTGTCAATAAGGGCCTGCTTTTATGAATAAAGACAGGTCTTGGGAAGATCCTGACCTATATCAGTATTTTTGCTATTATGAATAAAGCAGGCCCTTAATGACAGGAATTAATATAGATGTTGATCTAAAATTATTAAACATTTTTGCTCTCCAGACGGGGGACCATAGCAACCACACATATTTCACAAAAGATTTTTTTAGTAATACAAAGTCCTTGCTGGGTAGGTTTAGGGGTGTATAGAAGCTCGCTTCTGAATGTTTGCTTTTTAAGAAGTTTACTTTTTACTACTTGTTGTTATATCACATTTGTTGCGAAGTTGTTTCAAGACGCTATATTGCGCTGTTCTCTGGTTTTTTAGTAATTGATTTGATTTCTCGATATTACGTTTCAAATTTTTCACCTAATCACGTACCGAATCCTTTCAATAACATTTAAGTTGGTGCATTTACATTTACATGGACCGTGGGACGAGGGGTGTTGAAAATTATTGAAATAAAATTAGCGTTAAAGAGTCATTTATAGTTATAAGAGTTCTATTTAGGACTGATATTAACCCTCCCACTCTCTGATACGCTCCGCGTGCCCTGACATAACTTGAATATTCATACACTTTTGTAGGTTGGCTATAAGAGGAATGTTCAAATTTTTCCTGGTGAAACACATCAAATGCAAACATTGTCTCTAAACCCTCCAATATTTGGTAAGAATGTGTTTGGATAACGCACTCCCTTTAGTAATAGACAGATTGTTACAGGTTACAGACTGCTTTGTGGTAAAAATACAAATTCTTCGAATTCAAATGGTGCTTTTCGAGCAGGTTTTGTCCCAAAACACTATTCTAACTGAATTTCCACTCCTCAAAACTCTCCCCAGAATTTCTGTCACCTGTGTTGTTTCCGCTTTAATCACTGACTAATTAATATTCCTTTTTTGAGGTTCTTGTTTAAAACCTCTAGATAAAAACGCGCTTATACTTAACCTGCCTATTATTAACATGCCGATAAACGACGTGAAACGTACATTCGTAAATCTGGTCGAAGTGAAAGGTCAAGATCATCATTGATGGTCGCTTCATTTTTTTTTCCAGAAGTGGAAAATTTCCTAACGAACGAAGAGTGTGATTTAATTATTAGCACCGCGAAAACCAGTGGTTTATCGGAGAGTACTACAGTCAGAGCAAATAGGAATCGATTATCAATAGAGAAAATAATGGAATTTTTTGGCAAAGTTGATATAAATTTTGACAGAATTTTAAATACGTACGAGGTAGGCCTACATGGAAGCATGTTCTGTGGCACAGTGTTGCCTGTTGTCATCCGAATGCTGAAAGGAATTTATCCTAATAATTAAACTACCCTTGCTTACTTGGACCACGCAAGCACACTAAGGTTGAATTGCCTTTTTTATACACATATGTACTGATGTATATGTTTTGCTTATAGATTGGAGAGTTTTTCATAAAGTTGTCCGGATTGGTGCTCGGGGACGACGACATAGCACAAATGTAAGTAATTTACAAGACTGAAATTGTCCGGTACGGTTGTCCCCGGTTGATGAAACAACAATGTTATACTAGGCCGGTTGTTCCAAAAGCGGTGGATAAGTTCAAAATGGAAAACAAAATTATCTTCTTTTTGAACAACTGAACTGTTTAATCGTCAATGGAATTGCATATCAAATGTATACGATGCAGGTTCAGCCATACACAAGATCTATGAGCGAGAGTATTTTTAAGCTTTGGCTTATCCGCCGTTTAAGCTATACGTACTTAGTAAACGCTTTTCGAACAACCGGCCCCAGGACTTGATCTGATTATTGATAAACTTTCCGTGCATTTTTCAAACTATTCAATTGAAATTGTTTCTCGCAATGACATAAAATTACAATTTTGTCCAAACGTTATTAGGGCAGGGGCACACTGACACTGCACGTTCTCTCAGTTTTCTTACTCTAACGGCAACCTCCGCTATTTCCTTTTGGCGATCCGCCTCCCCAGTCCCCACCCCCTTTTAATGTTGGTTCCTAATGTTTTACCATCGTTTTTAAAGCAAGATAATAATTTACCAGAAATGCATTTGGGGGAAGTTTGCTTGGGATAAATTTTAAACTTATAGCTACACGTGGCCATGGAAATTCAAATCTCAAGCCTGACCGCGATATAACTGTCGAAAGATCACCTCTTTTTATTACTATTATTGATTATTATTAACATTCATTAAACTGATCCTAGCCCCCACAGCTACAAGAGTTTATTTCCACAGGGGGCGTCCATATTAAAATATTACAAAAGTTATATGAGAAAAAGAAATAAGAACACCTATACATTATAGTATATGTATAGTCTATATACAATATATACAATGCGACTAAGGCCACAGAAATTTACGATGAAGTGACCCAGTGGAGGCATGAATGAAGAATTCCAGCTCTATTATTAACAAAAAGAAAATTTATACAGCTTGCTTAGCTTCAGACGGGAGAGTATTTCACAGGCAAGCAGCTCTGCACCATACTTGAAACTTTTTCCAAGAAAATTTTTTTGGTTTTGGAAGAGCCAAGTTAAATCAGTGTGAGAGTGTGCGGTTGAAATTAGTAGGTTTTCTCTACTAGTGAATGGAATTTTCAAGGCCGCAGAGCGGCAGTATTATATTTACTTTACATAGAAATGTTGCCTTAGATCGGAAGTGTCTGGTTTCCAGATTTTACCAACTAAGGGATCCGGCGGAGAACGTAGACAGATCTGATCTCATAACTGGCGCCTGCTATACTTCTAAGGGCGCGGTTTTGCAATTTCTGTAGATCATCGCTAGGCGTTTTATTAAAAACTCCCCAAAAGGGAGCTCGAGAGCATTCAGTAATCAAAGTAGGTCTGTATTAGCATTTTACACGATCCAATGCAAACATTTCCCAATTATAGGATATATCTATGCAGCGGTTGCATTACCATTGTGTTTGTACATACATAGTCATCTACGCTTTTATACATTTGAAGTTTCGAGATTGTTTTTGCCGATTGTGAGGCCTGTGGTCATGTGTGGAAAAGCGACAGGACCCACAAATTTTCGGTGTCATGTCTCTCGTGTTTCAAGCGCAATGAAATTTCTGGTAAGAAGAGAGCAGCGAATGAACAATCGTACGCGTGCAATGCAAGATCACTACACGTGGCGCGTTTTTTTATTGGCCACAGCTGTTGACACCGCTGACCGCCCACGCAGGTTCCCTTCCTGGAATCAATATGCAAACAAAAACTGTAGAAGTGAAAAAAAAGCTACACTTCATTTGGTTGCCACGGTGAATCGCTGCGTGACGGTCGCCAGCTAGAGCATCTGGAAGCACAACCTCGCAAGCCAGGCTCTTTTACCTACGCTCCACGGCCCACGCTGCGGCAAAGACCCTGGTCAAGGCTGGTCACGTGATTCTTTTGTTGCGCTTCTCCCGTGTGGGGATGGGTGGGACGCAAGTAGCGCATAGATCACATAGTTAAAACAGCGTGTTTCTAAGGACTGAATATTGAGCGCTGTTGTACTGCCAAGGGAAATAACCTGTGTCGTTATTGTTATTTGACCTCTAAATTCGCTCATCAACGCCCAAATTTAGAAGATAGCACAGGCCTTCGAGTGTCTATATTGAATATCAACTGAACTTGTGACGATACTAAAACCGATTCTATCGACGATGATACAGTCTACACATAGCACTTGAATCTAAATTCGGTTTATTGCTCTTTTTAGTTTTTTTGCTGCGCCACACTAGCTGTATTTATTTAGTTTATTGCGTGAACCGCTATTTTTAGTTGCGTTAGTACAAAGTCATCTGGATTGTGACAAGTGCTAAAAATAGCAGAAATGGTATATCGACTTTGCCACTCCTCCCATGGATATGAACTAAGCGCTAATTAAAAACCTCCCATATTTTGGGAGGTCACATGACCAGCCTTGACCAGGGTCTTTGCCGCAGCGTGGGCCGTGGAGCGTAGGTAAAAGAGCCTGGCTTGCGAGGTTGCTGGAAGCAATAAAACTGGAGAATAAAACTGCAGGTATGAACAGTTGTACAAAAATTTACGATGGGTTATTCTGATGATAATTTTGATCAAATTTGATCGAACTAGCTTGCCACTTTTGGCAAATGGCAGCTTCATATTATCCTGTAACAATATTGTGATCGGTCTGCGGTGCCAAAACTCGAGCTCGCACATTGCGAATACATTACTGATGACCACGATATTTAGCGTTTAGATTCGGTCAACCGGGAATGTGAAATGTGATACAAGCAAACTATAGGATTATTCCGGCGCTGGGTATATATCCACAGGAAATAATAAACATTAGTAATCGATATTTTGTTGCACCAAATTGAAAGCACTCAACCGCGAAGATTCAAGCTAGTGGATCTAAATACTAGAATAAACGTATCTTCCTTGTAAGTATGTGTAGTGATGTCATGAACGACCATTTCGCGCCATCAATGGATAATCAATTATTCTAATTCGAAACTTCGAACGCGTCTTGCTGTGGACTCAGTTTACACACGACATGTTGTAGTGCACTCACTGTACTGCAGCAGTTGAGAGATTAATATCGTGATAATAGTTGCGACACAAATTCCTAGATTATCTTTCTCTATTCAAAACGTAAGACAGTTGACTCCACTCGCTCCGAATTGGCCAATTCCTAAAAACCTGGTTAAAATCCTTCACTGAAAGAGAGAAGTCGAAATGTAGTTTGAAGGATTGGATTCATTCTAATTAAAAGGGTGATATTTTAGTTTTGAATGTTGTAAGAGTTGAGGTTTGAAAATGTGAGCACGAGATATCAGTGTTTTCATTAAGTATTTCAAAAATAGGCGTCTGCGTTTAAAAATAACAAAGATAGGAAAATGGAATAAATCAGAATCCAAAAGTAACTCTGCTTTGCAAAACTAATCATACACTTTACGGGTAATGGACTGACGGACGAACGGACGGCCGAACGGACGGCCGAACGGACAGGCGAACGGACGAACGGACAGGCGAACGGACGGACGGTATAGTGCCAGTTTTGCCAGATCGAAACAGTGGATTCTATTATTGGGGGAAGGAGCGGGGCCCATATTCGAAGAAAATTTCGTTCGGTCGAAAAATTCAGCCTGGTGGAAAACCGCCTTATGAGGGTACTTCAAAATGACCAAATACAAGAAGTTGAGATAACACGACTGGTTTATATTAGCCGTGAAAGTTTTCAACAGCGAGACCGTTATTATACCTGTCAGGTTAGCTATCAGTTATCATTGCATCCAAATAAATGCGTATTTATACATTTTTACATGCAGAGTTTTTATTCTAGCGCACAGGAGAAATATGAATTCAGAACCAGACGAGGCACCAAAAAGCAATGTCGAGCTAAAGGCTTCTTCAACAGAGATACAGCCAGAAGGTAGAGTCTAATAAAGTTACCGTTCATCGAACAAATTTTTGCGCCGACCGAGTCTCCTTGAAGTCGAAACAATAGCTCTCGATCTAAATAAGTCAGTCAACAGGGTATTTAAAAATTGCTGTTACGGGCTGTATACGATGTGTGAGTGTAGTTTTGCATGGAAAGGCACCTTGACAGAGAGATTTTTTCTATTTTTTAGACCCTCCTATATTTAACGCGGCAAAAATCTCCTTTCGACGATTCAACTACCGTCTTTACTTCGCCCTGCTGCTAACAGATGTTATGCCAACTATTTACACAACGGTTCGCATTCATTACCTCGGGGAGTTGCCAAACTCATGGGGAGTTAACATTGCCTCACAGTTACAATGGGTGAACGTTATCTTAGAAGTCGTTGAGGAGGCGCTGATCAAACCACTGTACTTTTGCATCGGACTCACGATCGGAAATGCCCGTGAAACCGAAAACAAGGTCAAAGGCGGATTGCTCGTAACCTTCCTCGTCTACCTCGTATGCGCGTCGTCAATTGCCGCCGCAGCTTCGCCACTCGCCGACTGGTTGGCACAGGATGAGAAACTCATCAGCAAGACGGTCGACTATGTCCGCCTCGAACTTATCGGGTTGGTTATGTCGAACTTAGTCAAGTTTTTCATGGTGGTTTTCGTGCTGTTGGATGCCCAGCGTCACATATACGCTGTTCTTGCTATCCAGATGTCCCTATCTATCGTCCTGGATTCATTCTTCCTCAGCGAGTCCATCGACGTCTCGCTGAAGTTGGGCGTCAATGGCATCGCGTACACCAACATCGCCACGGCCACCGTGACGTTTGTCTACGCAACGTGCGTCTTTTGCAGGATGTACGGATTCTGTCTGACCAGACCAACTGGGACGTGGGACTCTTCTCTGGCCTCGACTCGCTGACGCGAAATGCTGCCTATCTTCTCATGATAATACGTATGATGAATGTTGTGAAAAAGCAAGGAATATATTGGCTGGCCAATTCCTTTGTCTGGTCCTGGCTTCTCTTGCCGTTCCAGTCTCTTTCCAAAGTGCTCATCCAAGATACGTCCAACGTAAATCATGTCATGGACCACCGCCTGAAGACCTTGGCCTACTACGTCATTGTACTGGGCATAGCCCTGGTATGGGTTGTCACAATTCCTGGATGGAAAGGCTTCTTCGGCGTTGTCCTTAATATCAAAGAAACGGGCGAGGTTTTTCGGCTTGCAACAATTCTGGCGCCATTTTACATGCTGTATATGATAAATACCCTAATGGATAGCGTGTTCTATGGGAAGGGGAAGACTCAGATGTTGGCAATACAATCGATCATAACAAACATTGTGGTTTATGGCATTGCCTTTGTCTTATTTGAAACCGATGTATTTGAGCCGTCTCTGACCAAGATTGCCATTCTCTTCGGCGCGGGTATCACACTGGATTCTTTTCTCACTTTTTTTCTCTACTATATATTCATTCGCAAAGTCCATTTCGAACTCTAAAAACCTCATTGGTAGTACTTGTTCATCACTGAAGCCGGTATGAAAGATCAGATTAGTGAACCTAAGCGGTCAAACAGTCAAACCGGATTTATATTATACTAATCATCCCCTTTCTTCTACCTTGTCCTTGATTTGTATGATTTGTACTTTTGCATATATTTAAGTTAAGTCATAAAATAGATTTTTGACAATTTTAGAGTTACTGCATGTGTATTTATTTGTAGATATTCATAAATCACATCCTTGTAATTTGACAATTCGTTTAACTGATAAACTGGTTAAATGAAATTTCATTACTCCTACTTTACTTCTTACATTCTGTTTTGTTAATCACTGTGATCTAATTATTTTATTAGTTGATGCATTATAGATACCTTTATATAGTTATGTCCATTTTTATTTATCCTGAAAATATGTACCTATATATGCATGGCCAAATGGTAATAATTGAGATTTACGTTTATTCACGTTATGTATACAAATATTAAAAAAATCGTTTTAAACATGTTAAGTATGTTGGGTGTGCTTGCATGTGCCACAACTAAAAGTACAAAATTTTAGAACTTTTGAAACGTATTAATTTTAACAAACCAACAATCAAACCAGAGATAGAGTGGGTATAGACTACTTATAGAATCATCACGCATACCATATTTTAGGACTATTAAAAATAAAATTATGTCTAGGATTACAAAGCAAAATCTATAGTCCATGCCGGCATAACCTTGGGTAAGATTTTACCAGTCACTGCGAACGGAAATTAACCGATCAACTCGTACTCGCTATCCTTATAGATTACCAACCGCGGTCATTAATTATATGATTTTAAATTCCAAAAATTCCCCAAATTTTTGGAATTGCATCCCATTTTTACATAGTACTTGAAAAAAATTACTAAAATCCTATATTTACTTTCAGGCTGAACTCTCTTAAACTGGACGTCAATCATGATGGTAATGTTTCCCAGTGTTTTAATATTTTCAATATGCCTTAATTGTTCATTATGTGAATTTAAATCTTCGCTTCACTGTAACAGTTTTTAAACTGTCAGCAGGTGAAGAACTTTAGTTTTTTTATTCAGTTAATTGCTTAGTCGTCATGCATGCACTAGCTATATATAGAAGACATATTTTTTGTTTTTATATAGGTAAGCTTTCTGACGAGGAAATGTTTACAGGATTAGCAGGAAAGAGCTACGATAAGTTCTACACATATTTGGAAAATTTGCAAAGAACGAATCCTGAACGAAAGGTCCGATATAGTGACACGGTGTTTATAGAACCTTCCACTTCGTTAGAGCTCTTTGAAAATATCAGACACAGGTTAGTCGAACAAGTGATGCAACCTAAGTAAGTTAAATGAACATTCAATCCCCATGCAGCAATCCTAACCTAGTGCCGTGCATTTTTACCAAGCAGAACTCCTGAATACAACATTCTCTATAAGCAGCCCTTAGCTTGTCTCTCTTCAGACATAAGACGTTGATAACCGTATAGCCTATAGGAAAATCTATACCTGCTTTCCAAATTGCATAAATAGCAAATTTAATTCAGTGATAAAATTTTCGATGCTTTGAAAAAATTGAAAAGAACATTTTTCGAGCTCCCTGCTGCAAAGGGCTTGCAAAAGCGAAATGCGAGTGTTTAGGCCAGGCGTCAGCTGAAATAAAAATGATTACATGCACTATGTGAATGTGGTGACTGAAATAGTTTATTCAAACTTGCTAGGATTGTAAATCTGACAGACTTGCCATATGGAATGATTAAAGCTGGGGAGCATTTGCAGGTATATCGCATTACTGTACTGCATGTATATATTTCATGAATATTGGCTACTTTTGAAAATTCAATCATTTTCGCAACTGAGGAGAGTGGTTGGAAGGTGTGGCGATTAAAGGTGTGAGACGAAAAGACGATGTTTTCCCGTGATATAGCTATATAGTTGATGTTGCGGAGCTCCTGCACTTTCAATTTTTTTCATTCGAGGTCAATATACATATTTTGCATTGTCAATATAACTATATGCCTCTTCTGTCCTCGACATAAATTTGGCCCCACTTGAGCAGTCAGTTGACCGCAGTTTTTTGAACGCTTGCCGCACGGAAAACTGTAGCCTGAAATTTACTCTACTAAAAACGTAAGAATATTTTATGTTTAAGGTGGTCAGATATCGACCAAGTGGGCATTATCATTCCCATCTTGATTCGGAAAATAGCCGCGACAGCAAAGAATGTTGCCAATACAGAGATTGGAAATCAGGCTGTAAATTGTGCAGGTATATAAATGAGATGTGATGTGATATGAATTAAAACCTGTGCCAAAATATATATGATTGGGCTATAAAATATGAGCAGAGAAAAATTTTTACATCATCACACGGTATTACATGCTTCTCATTTATCTTACTTTTTCTTCGCGTGACTTGCATACATGCACCAATTAAAGCTTAGTGAGACCATGTTGAAACCACTGAGATTTTTCTTTACCAACCGTTTGCCGTGCTAAACATGCTTGGCCAGCTGAGATACTTCAAAATCGATTCTGCTTAATAGTCACATTATTTTTCTATTCTGCATGGTGAAACTGACTTCTGTGAAAAGCAGGCTGTATATAGCGTCGCCAAACGTATGCATGGAAACGTAGGGCTAATACCCAAAACGTATATAACCTACACTGAGGTAAAAATCTTTCTGGCGTGAATATCAAAATCAAATTCACTTCTGAACACATAAACATGCATCTATATTGCATTAGCACATCACGATATGTATATTTTATTGTAGTATATTCGACCATAAGGTCGAATATACCGGAATGCGTATATATTTGACCTTCAATACATTTTGAGACTATTCTACTTCACCAACCATTTGCTGACTCGCTGTGCGAAAATATCAAAAATCGATTCTACATGCATATTTAATAATCACACTTCTATTCTGCTAAACTGCATGTTTGTAAAAAGCTGGCAGTAGCGTCGCCAAACCTGCATGGAAATGTAAAACCCAAAACGTGTTATAGGCGAAGGAAATATAGGCTTGTAACCACCTCGCCTTCGGCGACTATATACTGATTGTTATAAGTAGTATATATTAAGTTATACCGCATTCCGGTATATTCCACATTCACTACTTTTTTCTTCTTCACCAACCATTTGCTGACTTGCTGCGCTATTAAAAATCGATTCTGGTTAATGATCACATTTCTATTTTGGTAACACCGACCTAATCTTTGTAAAAAGCAGGTTATATATATATATATATATATATATATATATATATATATATATATATATATATATATATATATATATATATATAAGCTAAAACCCAAAACGTGATGCCTATAACGTGCAGCAAACGATGGTATCAAATTCACGTCCAAACTTATAAACACCAATGCGCGTTAGTATATATTCTTACT